CAGCGCTTTTACTCGTCTCTAAAATGGATGTAGTAAATACATATTCATCTGCGCTTACCCCGTAAGCTGGGTGAGCTAACAACTGCTGCTAACGTTCTTTGAATCAAAGCTGTTAAAAGCTGGTTTTATTTGTATAGCTTTGCTTCTGCAGGAGTTTTAGGGTTATGAGGGAGCCTTAATTCAGGTTTGTTAGGCTCTGGTGGAGCTCAGTAAAGTCCCCTTGGCAATTTCTCTGTTTTTCTACCTACTTTGTCACTTAACTACGTCAAGAAGGTGGTGCAGCAAGCCGTGTGTCCTGCTGCGGGGAGGCTTTGGTTAGAGACACGGTAGAGCGCTGCGGCAGCCGCGACCTTAATCCTGTTTTTATCCAAAGGAAATAACATGTCTTCGGTGCATTCAGAGAGATCTCCTTCATCCTGATGAGTCAATTAGGAGAGGAGGTGGGTGCTGTGGAGGCTGAATACCTGAGCTGGATTTTCTCTTCCTTTCTGAGACTGAAGTGGACTTTGGAGGTGTGTGGCGTGATCAAGCTGCAGCCTTGCCTTGCTACCCCGTTAGTCACAGTCTGAGACACGAGTGTCCCCGGTCTGTGTACTCACAGTATCGTGTTTGTTCTTCCTAACGCCGACAGGCAACATCCTATTGATATGTTAAACGTGGCTTGCAGAGAAAACATTGGTGCCCAGTCTCTGTTTTTGTATTAATTGTATTTTCTTCAGCCCCCTTTTTTTTGACTTTTGGCCTGCTGACACTTTAATCTGAACTGTCCTGCGTTTGCTCGCTCCTTCCTGAGAATTGTATCTAATCTGAGCTCTGGCAGGCACGTGTGGAGCAGACACATGCACGTCTCGCAAAAGAATTTTTCTTTCATCAGTCGTGCTCTGGCCTTTGTGCATTACAGTCACATGTCGGTGGCATTTCCCAGGAGATGAAAGCAAGGGCTTGTTTCAGAAGCAGGAATTTTCCTGCAAGACCTTCTGCCAGAAAGGCTGTGCTCTCCGCTTGCTGTGCCGTGTTATTTCAAGGAAGCAAGTCTTCAACCCCGTAACTCCTCTGCCTGCTTTGTGGTCGCTTATTTGTGATCATTAGTAAAAAGAAGAGATGCCGCTTGAAATTTAGGCAGCACGGCTCCGCTTTTTAAGCATATAGCAAGCAGGAGGTTGGTAAGTAGTGCGGTAAGTGGCACTGCAGGGCGGCTGATGCACAGCACAGCCCGTGACTTGCCTGGCTCGGATCAGGTTGTGAGGCAATGGCAGGGGTGAGATCGGAGCGTGGCTCTTATTTCCAGTTCTTCCTCAAACTGCCTGGTGCTGTGTCCGCCCTTTCTGCAAAGGGCACTAATGAATCAGGCCTGTCCTAGGGAGAGATACACGATGGAAAAGATTTTTTGTTTATATATAGACTCCGCACTTCTCAGGCAAATCTTTGGGTTCTGGTGCAAATTATTTGGAAGTAATCTTCTAGGTCATTTGTCCTTGGTGCTGGGAGTCACTGTCCTGGGGACAGGCGTTAATCCTGGCAGAGGAAATGCTCCATCCAGCTGCCCCATCAGGCGGCTTTAAGGCAAAGGACAGCTGTGCGTGCAGCAACAGCAACGTACTGTGCATCTGAGAAACTCCTTCCTCGTGCCTAGATGGCCTCTGCTGTTCCTCCTTACCTCCGGAGTAAGTGACGCTCAGCTCTGTGTCACCCGGTTAACGGAGATTTCCCTGTCCCTTCCTCCGCTCCACGCGAGCGCTCTGGCACTGATGTGTACGTACAGCGTTGCCACAAACAATCGGCCTTTGTGCTCCTCTTGCCAAACACTTGTATTTTCACATATTGCCCTAAACTGGGACACATCCCCTGTGAAATTGTGCCTGGTATTACAAGAAGCGCACGATCCCTGGCTGGTTTTTTTTTTTTTAGTTAACAGGGATGTAGCTCCTGGCTTCAATTTCTTTTCCTCATTAGTTGTCGTGTGAGAGCTGCCCACACAGGGTACCCATGATGCGCTGGCAGGTTGTCGGTGAGCGGGATGCGTGCTGCCTGGCAAAGCGCCGGCTCCGGCACACAGCTTCCCTTGGCAGCCTGCCCGTGTTTACGTACGCCGTGAGCTGCGGAGAAGCGGCCGAGAGAGAATCAACTGCGAGGAGTTGTTGAAAAGTTTCACGCAGTAGTATTGCTGGGGTAATGATGGCTGTAGGGAGGGGAGAAGGCATTTAGGAAGAAGTAATATCTTTAGGAGGCCGGGTGGTGTGTGGGGAAATTAGGTGGGTTCAGGCACATTTAACTTCCTTTGCGATTTTCATTTGCACAAATGGATTCAACCACGAATCCATGGAACTGGAAGAATCAGCGTTGTAGTCGTGTGGAAATGAAACATAATTTAGTCTAGCAGTTTACAGGAGGTCCCTTTCCGAGCAAGAAAAGCACTTTCATTCCCATCTTGCAGGTCAGTGCTTTGAAATCGATGCATCTGGGGGAGATGCGTGGCTGTTACACATTTAGCTGGATATTGGCAGGGATTCTGCCGATGCGCGACAGCGAGGTGATAGCTTGCCAATAGAAGTAATACAAATCTTTTGTTATTCATTCAAGGGCATCATACAGCAAAGTAAAAACAAATCCAGAGTGATCACGTCAAATCCCTCATGTTTTATGGACGCATGAATGAGGAATATCCAGTTTCAGAAGAGGTTAAAGGGAGAGAATCCAGTCTGGAGCTAGTCCTGGCCAGTTTAAAATTGCCCTCCAAGCAAAAGGAAACGCTTTACAGTACTTAACGTGTCTTAACAAATGCACGTGATGTAGGCTTTCTCCAGAAGGCAGGTTGGATAGCGTAAGGTCTGTTCCTCAGCAAAACATCACTGTCAGCTAGTGACTTCCGCGCAGGGATAAGGCAGCAGGAAGTGCCAGGCACAAGAGACAAATTGCAATAATAGCTGCGATCTAAAAGCCTAAAAACAATGGGCTCCTCTGGCAGGGATAAAAATAGAATTCTTTTAACTTAGGGTGCCTTATGAGAAGAAGCAACAGTAAAGCAGAGGAAGAAGAATTTGGAGAGGAAAGCTAAATGAGCCATTTTCTGCTCTTGGATTACACCAGTGCAGATCTGTCACTGAAGTCATTTACACCAGTATAACCGAGAACCTGTCTCAAGGCATTTCAGCAGCTGGAGGGGATTTATTTAGATGGAAAGAATGCGTTCAGCATAGCTTGGCCAGATGACACCTACGGTGGACTTGGCAGCTGTTAGCAAGTATTTATAGGATGTAAACAGCAAGGGGAAAGAGGACGGAAATAGAGCAAACCGTGGGGGAACTGAAAAATGGGATGAAAATGGGAAAAGGAAGATTTTTAGTGCTGTAGGGCTTAGACTGCAAAGCAACCATCCAGGTGGAATGAACTGGAATGAACTGATTGACATGTTTGGTATTAATTGGACAAAACATTGGAAACCAGAGGCTGTAATTTTGTACTGATAAGAAGGCAATCGGCCTCCGCTGCTAATTTCTCTGTTTCTGTGATGGTTCTGTGGGATGGACAGGGATCCCTGTCCCATTAGGGGATTGCTGTTTGAAAGATCAGATCAAATGTTCCATCTCTGGTCTCTCATTTCTGATGGCCGGTAGTAGTGATTGCGTCAGAAACGAGTCTTTGCAGCATTTAGCAGCTTCTGAGCCTCCTGAACGCAAGGGTGCGTCTCCGATTTTTCACGTTTCGTAGCCACTGACAGCCCGGTACCTCCGATTCATCCAGCCCACATTTCAATCCATTTGTGATTTGACCTCTTCAGCATGTGGTAGCAGTGGTTTCCCCAATTTGTGCTTTACATGCACGTGTCTGTGCGTAAATTCTTTCCTTTACATTAAACTTTCTGCATGGTGATATCATTGGCTGGCCCTGCGTGTCTCCCGTCAGTCACAGTCTTCCCCAGTTGGAGATTTGAGGCTACTTTCTTCTCATGTGAAGTCCTTTTCATATTCTGGTCATCTTCTGTGCTTCTCTCTGTCATTTTCTAGTTCTGCTT